CAAGTGAGGCTCAAACTTACTGTTAAACATACTAGTCTCACCAACTCCACGACAAGAAACCAAAAACATCATCGATTATATAATTATATATGTATCTGGTAGCAGCAAAAAGTATTGTTCCATATTTCACCAAAAATGTTTTAAATACAATTTTCTTGTTTCCTTACAAGATAGATAGTTCGAGAGTATATGAATATATTTCAGGACATTATTTCACCAACTACTTTCAGTAACGGAGCCATCTTCAAAAAGTGGTGTCTCGTTCCAGACAATTTTTTCTCTCTAGAATCCATCTTGCACATTTATAAGTTTACCATTCAGCCATGCATTAAATATTGTTGCCAAAATTGGTGCTACTATCTATCTCGAGATTCTTGACAAAATCCAAAGAAAGGTTTGTAATATTATTGCTTCTGACTTAACATTTCCCCACTGCCGTGACATAGTTTCCGTTTGTCTTTTCAATAAATATTTTCATAGCAATTGTTCTGGTGAGCTTTCCTCCTTCTAACCTGGAAGATATGAATTTAAGCAGACTACTAGATTGTCAGTTAGGCCTCATCATTTCACTGTTGAAATAGCTAGATAAAACCGCAAGTTCTGTTCTAATAGTTTCTTTTCTCGCACTTCTCACCTGTGGAACTCTCTTCCAGTTTCTTGCTTCCCTGCCAACTACGTTCTTCAAAAATTTGAATGCAACGTCAATCGCCATTTTCTGTTTTCTTATACTCCGTTCTTTTATTCCCATTTCTCATCATTAGAGTCTTCTCGTTCTATTTCGCTTTCAGTAACCCCATGTCATCTTAGTGTCATAATTGCCTAGCTTGAGGTGAAATTATTAAAATAAATATTTAAAAAAAAAACACACGCGACACAGTAGACTGAATGACGTCAAATGCCCTCACAATTTCAGAAAAGGAATATCTCATCCATCTGTCACACACCATCATGTCACGTTTGAACTTCGACTATTCGCATCGCCTTACTATAAGCAGCCTTGCCGGTGTTCACAATGAGTTCCAAAATTTCAAAGTACAACTAATATAGATCTAGATATTTCCATGATGTCAAGGTACAGTGTCACCATCTATGATTACCTTTATATACTGATATGCTATACACTTTTAATTTTCAAATGGTTGCAATCTGTTTGAAAGAAAGCGGTCTGTGATGATAATGTTCGTATCAGCTGCTTTCTTATAAGAAAACATTTGACATGCATTAATTAAGTAGCTTGTACTACTGTCGGTTGAAATTTATAAAATCTTTCTCTTAAAATAATTTTTCAGGGAAATATGTTTCTCAATCCCACTAGGTGTTATCGCTCTTTCTAGTATTGAGGGGGGTGTCCTTCCTAACCTTTTATTGGAATTGGTGTAGAATGCCATTATTTTCTCTTCGAAATGTGATATCCATTTTACTTGTTACTGCTGTTGAAATTCTTCGAGTGATGTGGTTTCTGTTATTTGGTACTGTTATTTGTGATTCTGTAGCGCCAGTCTACAAGTTTCGAAGAAGTGTGATTTTCACCCAGACCCACAGGCATGATTCGCTCAAAGCCATTTTTAATCATTGATCTTAGAAAGTGGTTGTATACAATAGACAGTTTAGATATTACTGAACTGATTTGGTCAAATGCATGACATCCACATGAAAGTCTCGATCTGACAAAGTTATTTAAGAACATAACTCGAGTTTTAAGGTTAATGTTTTGGTTTTGTTGCAATGATAGAAAGTGCATTGGTCGGTTTTTAAAAGTATATAAAATCCAGTATTACTTACATTCTAAGCAACTTCCATTGTGGCTTGGAAGTGTGACGTAATACAGCCTTCCTTCTCCTAGTTCATTCAAACTACCGTTTGAAATTTAACTGTACTAAAATTCAGTAAATATTGATTGGTCCAAAGTTTCACAGAGCAATTAAGTCCGCCGTTATGGTTATGTCCCTTTGTTGAATGAGTCAGCAGATTTGAATCAAGTGTGGGGGGAGGAAATTGAACGACAGAGCCAAAAAAGAGAGTAGCGTAAAGTATTATAGCTTGGCCATAGTAGATGACTGACACCACTCACAGAGTATTTTGATTTAAATAACTGATTTTATTTGACCTTTTTTTTATATCAAGACACTCTACAAGTGCTATTGGTTATATGTAACCCAGTACTATCTGCTGCATGCCCGGGCCATCGGTGACTAAACCAGTACCCACGTCAAGATTTTCTGGTGAGGAGGGTGGTTAAACATACAGCTGGGTGAAAAACAAGACCTATCAAAGGGCGAAGGAACCATCTTATAGAGTCAACGCCCATCAATACACTGGGCTCCATATCTCTCTATGCAGCAGGTTCCGTGATGACACAACTTTACTGGACAGAAGGCCAGGGCGGAGGGACTCCTAAATGGAATCAACGACCATTTGTCCGTGACCAAGGAGAACCTTCAGGTTGGAAGACATTGGCTATAGTTTGACCTAGAGAGAGATGGGCTTACCCAAGACACGTCGACGTATTGTTCATTTAGAGTTCTTAAAAAGCAACGAAACACGAAATGCACATTTCTATACACAGCAGCTGTAACGTGTCCATAAAGTTTGGTTGAAAAGTTCTCTGCGCTCCTTAATAAGATTTGATTGATTTGTTTGTTTGACGACAAATCAACTCCTTATGGATCATTTAATGCCAAAGTTTAATTGGGGCGGAGCTTTGAAGTAATAAAAATATGTTATTCTGCTTTCACAACTGAATACATGGTAGATGATACTCTGCTTTTGTGCATATACATGTCTGTGCGAACATAATTACTAGAGGCGGTGATATGTGTGTTTTATAGTTTTGTTGAAGTTATATTTTTTAATACAGTCTGATTTTAAAAAAATTGAATGATATTATATGGATTAATGTCATGAAAGAGTTCTTCCATGTTGGTTGTTTGGTTGATTTTACTTAGCGGCATTCAACCTCTGTAGGTTATTTAATGCCCAAATCTAAATATTATAAACGCTATTGTATGCCTTCAACTACATATAAAATGCATTTTTAGTATAAAAAAGTATTTTATACTTTCATAGGTTTTTTTTTTTTTAGTTCAGGTTTAACTATTCGCCCATAGCTGAGATCCTAACAGGTGCTACCACTCCGGGTTAGGGTGGCTCTGGCAACAACAGTAATTAAGAATTAGTTCCACGTTCCCAAAAACTTCCAATCTCTCGATCACAGATTCTTGCTGCCGGATGTAGTTTATCGTTTTACCCAAGACTAGCTGAATAGGAAAAACGTTGTTCTCTGCCACAACAACTCAGAGTTACGTACAATAAGTATAACACAGAATAAAAATTTTGAAACTCGGTTGGTCTCTGTTACACTCGCTATATTCATCTAAACTTGCATCAACTGATTATTACCTTTCTCGTTCGCTGCAAAACACTTTGATGGGTAAATCCTCCTCTAATGAAAAACAGGATCAAGACTTTTCACATGAAAACCTGCTGAAGTTTACTCTAGGAATATCAAAGAATCGCCTGATAAAATGATGACTATATAATCGAATAAAATATAATTATACTTTATTTTTTTAAGAATAAAATTGATTAAAAAAAAAGAAATTATTTTGTGAGGTGAGTCATGATCGCATATATCCTGAAAGGAGCAGAGTACATGAAAGAAGACGTTGGACATGAAATAAAATTCTTTCTTGAGAAAGGCACGAACCCAAATCAACCTGCATCCTGCTTACTTTAAGATGCTGTCTACGAGGAAGGTCAATTCTTAAAATACAACGAGCCAACAGATAACATCCAAAATTCTAACGGAGATTTCTACAGCGGGGCTTCTAAGGCTAGTATTGAAAATAAAACTACCTTCTAAAAAATCAATAAAATGGAGACTCTATAAAGAACAGCGAGATGGCCAATGGAGATATAACTGTGTTAAAGATACGATACAGACTATGAATAGGGACTATTGTAAAATTAATGACTTTGCACAAAGGCCTACAATGAAAGGATGAAACAGAAAAAAATGGACATTTGAAAGGAAATGGAATTGATAAACACAGCCCAATGGGGTGGGGCGATTGAATTGTGAGTAAAAAAAGAATAATAAAAAAAACTACAGCGAAAAAGTTGCTCGGGTAAATAACGCTGAAAAACTAGCCTCCTTCATGAATTAGAGGCTCATTTCTAACTGGTGGTTGTTGTTCGAACTCGGTTAAATAGCTGATTTTAAAAAGGCATTATTTCAAAAACTGACACAACACAATCTTACTCTTCCAGTTTACACCGAATTTGCCTTGTGTCCTACTAAATTAAACCGTTGCCCACAGGGCTCACAAAATGACATTAATGTATTTTAGAAAACAAGAGCCAAATTTTTCATCCTCTCTCTCTTTCCCTCTCTATCTCTCTCTTTATCTATTTATCTCTCTTCGCCCTCCTATTTCCTAGCATATATATATATATATATATATATATATATATATATATATATATATATATAAAAGAAAGAGAGAGAGAGAAAAAGATGGAGCGAGAGAAAGAGAAAATTTGTGCACAGTGAATATATCGTATTTTATAAGTACGTGATTTTAGTGAGATTTTTGGCAAGTTTCTCGCTGCTCGATTGTAATTTCTTAGTTTTGCCAGTGCTAACCTTCATGGTTAAGACCCGCTAAGCCATGCACATTTTAGCGAACCGCCTTTATTTCCCCCAGCATACCACTGCGAAGATGTAAGTTTCACTCGAGCAGCTTCTTCCCACGAACCACAGCTTTGCGGAACAGACACCAAAAAGGATGCTTCCATGATCACTACACTCAACCTGTTCAAGTCTAGGTTCGACCGTGCCTCTTACTCGAGTGGCTCTTGGGGTTTGTACAGGGTAAACATTATTGTAAAAAAAAAGGGAAATTATGAAGCGAGATTTTCCTAAAGTCTTCAAAAATTAATTTCCTCCTGTGGTGAAAATAATCTATAAATATTGGCGTTTTGTGTGAACACTGTATCGACTAATTATAAAATGAAATCGCTACTCCCATATTAGATAGATAGAGACACAGAAAAAGAGATACGAATAAACTGAGATAGATAGATAGATAGATAGATAGATAGATAGATAGATAGATAGATAGATAGATAGATAGAAACTGGGATAGATACGAATAAACAAAAATAGATAGATAGATAGATAGATACGAATAAACTGCGATAGATAGATAGATAGATAGATAGATAGATAGATAGATAGAAAGAAAGAAAATGAGATAGATACGAATAAACAAAGATAGATAGATAGATAGATAGATAGATAGATAGATAGATAGATAGATAGATAGAAAGAAACTGAGATAGATACGAATAAACAAAGATAGATAGATAGATAGATAGATAGATAGATAGATAGATAGATAGATAGATAGATAGATAGATAAACTAAGTGGATAGATAGTGAGAGGGAGATAGACAGGAATAAACTGAGATAGATAGATAGATAGATAGATAGATAGATAGATAGATAGATAGATAGAATAAACTGAGAAAAACAGTAGTTGGGAAATGCTATCGATATTTACTCAACTTTGATTGGTATGACACAAAGTCAAATAGAGATGAACAGAGGTAAAAAGATCATGTGTTGTGCTAATCTTCCAAGTGAGAAGGTCTTTTCCTACGTTAGCAAAAACATCCTTTTAAATACTGACTTTAACCTGAACTCGAACGCTAACGACTGATGCCGGTGGAAAATAATTATCCTTGGCATCTTGCCTTGTTGGTTTAATGCGTCGGTGGTCCATTGATTGGCTAATGACCTGTTTTACTGATTCAAGATGATAAAGAAAAGTTAAGTGTGCAACAAAATCTATCTATATGAACAGGCTGATGTGTGGGGGTGTCATTTGATATATTCAAATATTTACACTAGTCAGTATTTCCCGGTTCATTCACATTTATTTGTATACGAGCGTATGCATACTATGCCGACGCTTTATCGACAAGGGTGGCGGGATACCCGGACGGAATTGCGTGGGTGGTGTTACGAGCATAGATTACGCGTTGATTTATTCATGTGTCTCTGTATTAAGAAAGAAAGAAATAAAGAAATAAAGAAAGAAAGAAAGAAAGAAAGAAAGAAAGAAAGAAAGAAATAAAGAAAGAAATGATATAAGAAAGAATGAAAAAAGAAATGATATAAGAAAGAAAGAAAGAAAAAAATGATATAAGAAAGAAAGAAAGAAAGAAAGAAAGAAAGAAAGAAAGAAAGAAAGAAAAGCCACAGCTGGACCGTTTTATTGGTCAATTTCTGACCAATCGACGCAAGCGACATTCCAGGAGACGCTTAAAAATTATTATACTGCAACGAATGGTCAATAGTGGGAAATAAATTTGGGCAGTAACATATTTATGTTCTTAGCTAGCGAAAATTTACAAAAGCATGTAGGTTAGGGGTACATTTACCAACCCATATGTTTAAACTAGCATCACTTATACTTATGACTTATCTAATAATCACTTTTTTAGCCGGATAAAACTCAGGCTACATTTCATAGGAACTAAAGAACTAACACAAATCTGAAAAAAAGAGAAGGTCAATCAATCATGTGTGGTTTCGTTGGCGAGATTTAAAGAGGATTTCCTTCCTTTGCAATCAGGAGTTACTTCCGACTAACTCATGATTGGCTGTGAATGAAACACCTCTTTGGAATTGGCTGGCTTTCAAAAGAGAAGAGAAAAACATCCGTTTCATAGTCATAAACTTGTTCTTTCTTTCTTTCTTGTTTTCTTTTCATTTGGGCGTTCTTTACCTTTGCTTATAGAACCGTGGAAGTATTTGTTACGATACTTTTACATGCGTTTCAAATTTACCTTCCCAATTAACAACACCACACCTTACTCTCATATTTCACTATATTTACGGATATTGCTCGTTGGTTAGAATTACAAATTAGAAGCAGAAAAGCTTTTATCTCAAAGACCTTATTGGTGCCACAATTCCATAGATTCTAAATACAGATATCAAAACAGAGATTCTTTGTACGGCAACCAAATCTACTGATTGGGTGGCAGAAAAGGGAGTGTGACAGGGAAGGTAAAAGGACAAATTTTACCGATGAACTAAAAACGCTGAAAAATACAGGAAGTCGAAAGAGCCATTATCGCCCACCTTCTGGAGGGACACAATGCATAGAAAAAGTCTTGTAACAAATGTGCATATCTTGGTTAGAGATATAAGCAGGTAAGCTTGGATAGCCAAGGTTTATCGATGCGAGAAAAGAACTGTAGATTTCCCGCCAAGCACGAACCAACGGATGGACTACTGTGGTACAAACAAAATTGCTTTTATCTTAAGAGCCTTATTGCTACCACAAACCCAGAGTCTAAATACAAATATCAAAACAAGGATTTTTGTACTGCAATCAAATGTACTGATGAGCCAGAACATTATGAGCGCTACTGTTCCATAACACATATGATGAGGAAAGGGAGCTTGAAGAATGTAACACTCACAGGATAATGTAAGAGGTACAGAGGAAAACAGCGAGTAGCCTACCTAACAAGTTTGTGTAAGTGGATGGTAGAACAGGGAATGAAAGTGGTGGAGAAAAAACAAAACTTACTAAGTAGGACAAAGGATAAGAAATTGTAGAGAGCCATGATCACCCACATCCTTAGGGGACAGGGCACACAGAAGAAGAAGAAATCTTGTAACAAATGTCCTTATCTGAGTGAGGGATGTATAAGCAGATAAGCTTTGCTGGCCTATATTTATCGACGTGGGAAAAGAACAATGGATTTTCCACCAAGTAAGAGACAACGGATGGGTTACTATGGCACAAATAACAGATAGTTTTAAAACAAGAATCCATCTAGACACACAGTAGATTAATTCTTGTTACATATGGAGCTATATGGCTGTAGGCTACTCAGACTACACATACAAACCAATGTTCATCAACAAATGCTTCTTTAAAGGGCATGCAACAGTCGGAATTGCATTTTATTGAATAGGAAAAAAACGCCTAGTTTGATGTCACACTTTCTTCAAAATAAGGGGAACAGTAAGGTACATGGACAGACAATGACATCGATGTTATGCATGAAGTGAAAAGGGAATGTTGTATTATTACATTTTGAAGGTTACCTGCATTGACGAGCACTTGATGAAACGAGCCGAAACGTTGTGATAACAAAAAAGGTGAGGACAACAGTCCAAGTATAAATAACGATAAATCCTCATCCTAGAAATTCAGACAGAAAGATTGCTTTTCGTCTGTTTTTTGTTTTGGTTTTTTTCTTTATTTCTAGTATCAATATTCTGTCTCATTCTTTCAGTGTAGGCCTCTGTTCAGAGTCATTAGTTTTACAATAGTCCCTATTCATATAGTCTGCATTATATTTTAGAATTAAATTTCCAGTGGCCATCACGTATTTTTGTTGTTCTTAACAGAGTCTTCGTTTTATTGATTTTTAGAAGTCCGGCTGCATAAATCTGTGTTAGAATTGTAGTGCCATCTATTTGTTTGTTGTATTTAATAGGATTGTCATTTGTATTGTATTTTAAGAATAGGACTTTCTCGTAGTCTGCCTCTTAAGATAAACAGGATGCAGGATGATTTGGGTTCGTGCCATTATCAAGAGCTGAAAAGTGAAAGCGATATAAACAGGTGCACATGGAATTCGAAATCGCTTCACCAATTTTATTTTCCTAGCATTTACACCAAATTTTGCATTGGTATAGTGACCCCTTTTTGAAAATAATAAAGAAAATATTATAAAACTACAACATTTTTATTTTATGTGAATGATCTTGAAGAATAATCTTTCGTAGCATTTTTTGCTTCTTACTAACTCTGATTATCCAATGAAACTGTTGTTTAACGTTACTGAAATTTTGTTTCAGATTAGACACTTTTTTTAGATGGAACGCCAAGAAGACAAGAATGAGCATGTTCCACATCTTCTTCTCTTTGCTTTTAATCAAGTTCAAAAAGTTGCCAAAGCTGCTTGAGACATTTGTGCTGTGAACGGTGATGATTTCATTACCGACAAAATGGCACAGAAATTGTTTTCTAGTTTCAAAAAGGGGAAGTTCAAACTCACAGGCTCTCTACATTCTGGCCGACCAGTTCAGTTTAATGAGAACTAATTGCAAGCGCTGATTAAAGAAGTACCACGCCACACCTCTAGGGAATTGGATCAGAAAAAGTCAAGCTCTCAAGTTACTGTTGCTCGTCAACTTCATTCAATGGTAAGGTCCAGAAAGAACGCTACACGCATTGATCAAAAGAAACAAACTCCAACACTCCTCCATTGTCGCCAGTTTACTCGCTCGACACCAGGTTACTCGTGAGTACATAAAAAGAACTTAGTTGGGAACTTCTGCCACACCCACTATATTCTCCTAATTTAATCCCTACAGATTACCACTTTTTTATTGGTTCCTAAAAGAAATTAGTGGTGTTTCGTTCAACAACGATGTGGAGTATAAACATGGCTTGATGAATTTTTCGAATCAAAATCTAATGATTTTTATCGTCAAGGTATTGAACAGTTAGTGAATCTTTGACAGGAGGTCGTAAGCAATGAACGGGAACAGATTGCGGAATAACTCATCAGAACTATTAATAAATAATAAGTATTAAAATAAATTATAAAAAAAAACGAACGAACTTATGTAACAGCCTAAAAGGTGGCCAAATGGTGAACCCATGGTGAGTTTTAGTGTTTAAATGAAAGCTCAGGCATATATTGATATTTTGAATATACACGTTAAAGCATGATTCAAGAAAGTAAAAGATGCTTTTATACACGGCAATGGTTCATCACATTTGGCGAAGAAAAGTAATGAATATCTTAATAAAAGTGTTCAAAGATATTAATTTTATAAAGTAGCCAGCTTGTTCGCCCGAAACTTAAACCGGTTTTAAAACATTTAGCGTATTCTGAAGAATATATTAGCGGACAGCAATTTACCAAAAGAGATGAACTTTGAACTTTGCAATTCAAGATAATGTGATGTCTGTTTCATATGAAGAAACACAGCCTCTCAAAAAAGTCAACATAGTCGCCTTTCTTAATCGTGGCATGTCGTACAAGGCTCTTAGCTGCTTTCTTAGACATGTTGAACCCTTTCTCCAAAACATCATTGGAGAATCACTGTCCTCTGATCACTATCCGCATTGTGCACATCCAGAAGCTTCTTAGCAGCAACCACCTTATCTTTCATGTCAGTATTTTGGTAACTTACATTGCACAGACCTTTGAGAAGGCATTAGCATAGATCAGCTGAAAGCTTTCACAAATTTTCAATAAGTAATTCTTCTGCCAAGTGTTTGGTTATGTTATGGTCCAATATCCTCGCACCACAGTTATGTTCCAAGGTTAGAACCAAGGAAGAACAACACGAACACAAGAGTAGAATAACAAAGATATATTACAACAGAAATATAGTAAAAGAAGTTGAAGTTGTTAGTAATGACTGTCCATCTGGTTTAGAGTGAACTAATATTGTCTCGATTCGTTACACCATTCGTTCGGTATCTAGCCACCCACACCACGAGGGTTGCATGTGGCACAAGGCCGAGTTTAACGTGGGTTTCCCGAGCCCGTAGGCTCGGCCAAAAATATACCCTTTGAACCTGCCTAGACGGGTTCAGGGCCTGTCTACCTCCCCGGACGAAACCTTGCCCTTCGGCAAAGCTTCGTCCGGGTTCCTCTCTAAAGAAGAGAGTTCGACAGTCATGACCTGGTGCTCGTTACACCATTCATTCATTATACTTCTTGAGAGGCGCAGTATTTATAATGTCAGGAAGAGTCCATTATCTTCCAAAGCTTTTGCGTCTCAGGGGTCTTTAGTATTTTTTCCTCTTTGGATTTATTATCAAAGACTCTGTGACTTTTCTTTTCCTGGTCGATTTTCGTGGTTCAGACATTGTTTGCGGCCTTTGCATATCAAATGTGTCGAATATTGTATCCATCACTTCTTCTTCTTGATGTGGACCGTTAGAATCATCTAACAGCCTCTTTCTTATTTGATTTACATGTCTTTTGTGTGAGAATTTCAGGCCCTGTACTATGTAAACCATGTTCCCGATTCTTTTTTCAGTTGTACCTTGTTCCCAGTAGGACGTATTGTTTTTATACATCTTAAAAAAAACTTTCTCTCTTGGGTGAAATTTTCTTTTTGGTACGCACGACATTGGTATTTGCTTTGTTTGTTTTGGTAGCAATTTGTCAAATACTAATCTGATTTTTCAGGCGAACATCACTTCCGCGGGTGATAATGCCGATGGCGTAGAACTGTTTGGTTTAATTCGATATACTTGT